CTGTTGAGGTAATAACTTTTGTTGAATCTCTTTATATAAACAGCTGTGCATATGTGTGGAGGCAAAGTTCATTGATTGCATATCAGCTCACCACTATTAAGCTTGACCTTTTCCACCATTGTTCTTCTGTCTTGTTAAGTCTCTTGAATGTTATTTGCAGCCATGAGAGTCGTGGAGTGACGAGAAATTTTGATCTCTGCTTGAACAGAATATGGCGGGAACGTTTCATTTCAAGGATGGTTTAATTGCATACAAGTCTAGATTATGAAGAAGCTTGTTACTAGTAAAATTTGGTCACATCCGTCCAGAGAATAATCGGCAGCTCATTATTATCCAATCCAAGTTTCTGGTAATATGAAGGGAAACTCCATGCAACACCGAAGAATTGCTCTGTTTGTGGAAGGCACTGATCTTTCTTGCTTGGGTTAAGGTTTTATAAGATATATAAACTGGGAGTTATGTCCATCAAATAATGTAAATATATCTGACATTGGCATTTTTCAACCAAGCAGGCTATATATAGCGGTTCTTAAGAGTATTATAACATATCAATTCAGTTCGTAACACAGACATGAACTGTTCTTGCAATATATATTATATACAGAACTTGGTCTTTACAAATATGAAGCCCAACCATTTATATCTAACTGTCTTCTTCTACATGGCTATATCAATGATATAGGGACATATGGATGAGAGAACAGAGGGGGCTGTGGTAAAGCAAGGGAAAGCAAGGCATCATCATATTCCCGTTTCAGTTTCTGCAGGACTTGTTTCTGAGACATACTCTCTCATAAGCTCCTTGTTTGATTCATTCACCATCTGCAACATATAAGGACAGCAAACAATACTATGCATTCACAACTAGCAACTAAATAGATAAACTAGATTCTGGCCTAACCAGACCACTCCACTTTCATGAATAGTTACATATATATAACTCCATGCTTATTGCAGGGATGAGCAACGCGGGAGGTTCTCATCCTTGCAGTGAAATTTGAGGTGTAATTTTTAATATATAATTTTTAAATAAAAAAGATTTTTTATAGAGTGATAATTAGAAAATTATCTTTAATTTAAATTCTGCATAAATTACAACATATAAAAAATAAAATAAAAATAACATTAAATATGGACTATTCGATTTTAATTTGGACAGTCCATATCAAATACCAAGTGAATCTGAAACCATAGCCATCTTTGTATTTCTCTAATACTTCTAAATTTCATTTGAATGATTTAAAAATTATCAACTTTATTCTTTACATTCTTTGTCTTTCAAAATGGAAATAAATATAAAAAAATTCAGTCTCGTTAAATTAGATTTGAACAATTCCAGAAATTTAAAAGACCTTAAGTTACGATCAAGATACGATCGTAGACACACGAGGGTATTTCTTCATCACACTGACAAATTGACTTGGACTTATCGGCAATAAATTTTCTTTCAACAAGATCAACCTTCTAAATAACATGTACAATTTTGCAGGATTAATTAATTACCTTCACAGCAACGCGCTTTAGGTTGTCCCATTCAAAGTCCTGTTTGCAATATGCTGATCTCACCTAAAATTATACATCAAAGTCTTTAATCGGCGTTTAGCAAACGGGAATATTGAAAACCACATAATAACCAAGAGATCCACTAACCTCCAGTATGCGCAGAGCTATTCAGGTGCAAATCATCGTTGCCCAGCATTAATTTCCCATAGATTTCAATCAGCAAAAGATTATTAATCCAAATACTAAGACAAAAACATATTTTTTTTGGCATAAAACTGAATAACTTTTGTTCACAGTGGAAGAAAAATATGCAAGAGATTACAAAGAAAAACTGATTTTGGAGTAACTTGTTGATTGCAACGTTGGACTTACCTAAGTTCTTATGTCTCGATGATTCTCGCATCATGCTGGCACAGAACTTGTCACCATCATTCAAAGAGTGTCTACTCAAGAATTCCATCAATTCTTCGTATGCTTCACGATTGTAGCTCTGCTTTAGGAAATAAGCTTTGACAGATGGCATTGTTCACAAAATACAATAACAATAACAGTTCGAGCTTATCAGAGTATCATGTGATAGTAATTCAAAACTCTCTCATGAAAATTCAAAAAAAGCTATAATTCATATTTCATAACATCTAATTTTCACCAGAGATGAGCGCATGGTGTGTTACTTTTAGTGTTACTTTTAAGATGAAAGCAGGATTCTCTGGGAAATAAGGTTTTAATTTTAAACTGGGAGAATTATTTCACTCTTTGACTTTGTTTCTTTCAAAATAAAAATATCAAAATTATACATAAAACAAAATGAGATCTAATCCATCAACAGACCATTCACATCGGATCATCTTTGAGATGATGGGCTGAGAATCTAATTTTTATAAATTATGACAATTCTTACAAGAAAAAAATTACAAAAATCCAAAACTGTATGCAGTGAAGATACAACACATTAAACAATGCATGACACGGATACAGGTCCTGCTTGGAGAATGAAATAAGGAATATTAACTTACTACATAGTCAACAATTGTAGGGTTATTATTTATAGATTAAGCCATAAATTGGTTTCGAATTGAATAATAATCTTTATGAGTATATATTTTATAACAATGTTCTATAGTTTCTTTTAGAGTGTGACTGAATAAAATTACTTTTGTTTCCCCATCTTTCTTCTTTATATCTCTATTCTCTTCTCTCTCTGATTTTCGAATTCTTTCTCCCCAATAAACTCTAATGCTCCAGCTCCTATATCCCGTGGCAAAAACACAATCTCAATTTCTTTTTTAGAAGGAAAAAAAAAATTAATGTCCGTATCTTGTATGTAATATAATTCACAACTACGAAGTAACAATTCTAATAGAGCCGGAATGAACCAAACCAACTCAAATTTTAGCATGATCGCACTGGTTCATTTTAAAATGGAACAAACCCGAGCTTTAATTTTTTTTACATCTTAGAAGAAGAAAAAAATCTGATGAACTCAGCTCGTTTAATAGATAAGCCGTGCCCATCAAAAAGATGTTGTAAATATAATATTTAATATAACTAAATAAAGAAATTATGAACTTTTATCCTATGTATGCGTTTGTGTACGAAAAAATATATATTACTATGTTTCAATGATTATAATATTAATTTTCATAAAAAAGTTTACATGACTTTATATATATAATATGTGTATAAATATATATTTTCTCGATTTGTGTGTATCACATATTTTAAAAATATAACATGACATTTTATTATTATCCAAGTTCTTCACATATTTTTCATGAGCCAAATATGAAATTTTCAAGTTTGGATAATTTAGTTCGTCGAACTTTAAAATACTGATTAAGCTCGTTCATTCAATAAATGAATCAAGCCTTTTCTTTCTTTTCTTTTTTTTTTTTTGACCAAAATAAATGAATCAAGTCTATTCCAAACTTTTAAATGAGCTGGATCTAGAGGTCATCCATAAAGTTACACAATTAACTTCCATTCATGAGTATTACTGCAAGTATGGCGAGAAAAGAACCGCAAAGTCTAATATGAAACCGTTTGTGAATTTAACACATGACCAACACACACACACACACACAGACTCATGATAGCATAGTTGTTATCCAGTGGATTAGCAAAGAGATAGTATCAATGGTCAAAAACGTAAAGTTGTCAGCCATGACAAATACGTGAAGATATACGAAATAAGAAAACAGTAAAAAAGCCTTAAGGTCCATGGAGTTGGAACCTGAAGTTGTGCAGAAATAATCTTAACGGCGATGTAGGTGAAGAAATGGTGGAGGTTCTTGGCAGCCTTTGCTTCCGGTGACGCTTCTCCATATCCTGCATCATCTCACCATAGCATGTTATAATTTTACACTCTTCTCAGCACAGAAAAAAAAAAAAAAAAAGAACGAGAGAATAGAAAGCACCACTCAGAGAAAAAGACGACAAGAGAAACAGAGTAGTGACCCACCAGGTACATACATCTTCTGGCAGTGTATAGGGGTGGGTTGAGAAATCCTTCGCTTCAATGGTGAAGAAAAAGGATAAACTCTACCGTGGTGGGGTTTTATGGGATAAACACAGGGAATTTGAGAGAGAGCAAGAGTTGCAGAAGCTTCCATTGATCGCACAAACCCTTTAAGAGTTAAAGGCTTTTATTAATGGGAAGATGAAGCGGAAATCCCAAATTATCACGGTGGGTTGTGGTTTCTCCAAAACAAAAAATATCTCCAAGCTTCAATCCGTAACAGAAAATATCTCTGAGCTTATGTGGAAAAGGCAGGCACTTCTCAACGAAAGTTCATTTCATGGTGGAACCCACCATTCCTTCCTGGCATTGGAGATATTTTGTGATTTGCTACAGATCCCATTTTTATCTGCATTTTGATGGAGTGACCTTCAAATTAATTCAACCACCCACATAGTTTCTCCTTCATCTTTTTTCGTCATGGAATACTCAACGATCAAATCCCAGACATTCGCTTGCTCGACTGTACTAATCTTCATTTCTTCTACAACTTTCTTTCCATAAATTACTCAAAAAAGGGGTCAGAAAATTGATCAAAGGCCAGTTCGAGGAGCTTCAAGGTAAATGCTTAAAGCTACGCATAAGTTAATATAAAATGTTCTGCCAATATGTTCAGGATTATTCGTCAAATATAATAATCCAGCGACCTTGACCTCACAAATCAATAAGTTTTCATAGGATGATAGACAGTGACATCATTCTTTCCTTATATAGTTCTCACTTTGTTCTTTAAAACATATAAAATTTGAGGTTTTCCACTTCGAGTCACCATCCAATTGGTTTTCATGGAAGCTGCATCATTCAACTTCTCTGGCAATATAATAATCGAGCGTAACAATGATTCAAGACGGAACAAAAAGCCACAAAATATTAAACAAGAAAATAAAACAATGGAAGAATGGTTCAAACTCTTACCAAGTTCTTCTCTCCTCTGAATTACCTCATTCTGCATTTAAGCTGTAACTTCAAGTTCTCCCAAATTTTCTCATCATCGTTCCTTTTCAACTCAAAATGACCATAAAAGCAAACACCAAATTCTTGGTTTGTCTTTTGTTTCTTCCTCTGACTCTGATTCTCAGAGTCGAAGCTTACTGTAACTCTGGTTGCAAGCTTGCTTTAGCTTCGTACTACGTCTGGGAAGGCGCAAATCTCACATACATAAGCCAAATCTTCGGCCAGCAAATTTCTGAGATTCTTAAATACAATCCAACAATTCCCAATCCGGATTATGTTCGGAGCGCAACCCGAATCAACGTGCCGTTCACGTGCGATTGCTTGAACGGCGTCTTCTTAGGTCACACTTTCACTTACAAAACCCAGCCTGGGGATACGTACCGTAAAATTGCTGAGCAAGATTTTTCTAGCCTGACGACCGAGGATTGGTTGGAGAGGGTGAACATGTATGAAGCTACAGAAATACCGGTGGACGTTGGGATTAACGTCACCGTCAATTGCTCGTGCGGCGATAGGCACGTGTCGAGGGATTATGGATTGTTTCTGACGTACCCACTCCGGAGTGGCGACAACTTGCCGGATCTAGCAGCGGCTACCGGTGTGCCGGCGGGGATTATACTGGGGTATAATCCCGCATCCGATTTCAACGCGGGGAGTGGACTAGTGTTTGTGCCGGCCAAAGGTTAGCGAATTTACTTTTGGCCAGTAACTGTAAATATTTTTTTAAATTGTAATCTTTGTTCATTAATTACGAAATGAATATATGATAATAAAATATTTTAATAAGTTTATAGTATTAAAATAAAGATCTAATTTCCTTCAACACAAATTAGATCCAATGTTTTTCTATTTTTATCTTAATTTAGAGCTGATGAAAGGGAATAAATTTAAAATAATAATAATAAATTTTGGGTCAAATTAAGTGATATAATTGGGTTATTTTAAGCTAGCTAAATATTTTTGGCATGAAATAATTAAAATCCTTTGAAATGCTATATAATATATTAACAGGGTTAGATCTAATAGAAGGGGTTAGTCCCCGAAATATGGCAAATTATGTACAAATTTTCGTTAGGAGAGGTATCAACATTTAATATTCAATAGTACATAAAACAGAATTACCTCTAATAGAAGGATACATGTACATATCAAAAAAGAAAAGGCTATAATATATAATGAAGTCTCAAGAAAAAAATATAATTATTAAAAAATCTTAATAAATGAGCAATATATACTTATCGTTATTTTTTAATTTTTATATTTACACATAACTTATCATTACATATTATTTTGTTATTATTGGGATTTCTATTAATTATAAAAATTAAAAAACCATATAATTTGTTTATTATATAATTTTAAAATAAATAAAATTGTTCCAGGTCAAATAAATAAATAAAATTGTTAACAAAAATATTTGAATTACTTTACCTTTAATTTCGAAGGACTAATTTAATGATAATTATAGCTTACAACAATCTTTCTTAAAAATTGCAGAAAAGTATTTACAAAGTATATTTTATAAAATTGTAAATAAAAGAGTACTCGTTACAAATAATTATTTTGAAATAAGTTTATTATTTTTCATTAAAAAAATATAATCATCATTAAATTAATCTTGTGAGATTAAACTCTCTTGTTTTCAGACAAAAGGTCGCCTTTCATGCACTTTTTCCCTCTAACGTCATCATTTGAATAATAAGGAATATTATGGTCATTCGCCTTTTATTTATGTTTTAATATCATTTTGCCTATTCTTAAAACCCCCCGGGGGAGGTTTCTTAGGTAAAGAATTTGATTTTTTATATATTAATTATTTTATTTTATTTAAGAGAAGGAACCTTAGGGATTCTGGCATAGCATAAGCATATTCCCTCAGATAGAATTGACATTACACATTAAATAATGAGAAAAAATTAAATACTTTAATGGAAGATAATTTTTTAGTGGTGAAACAAAATGGTACACGTCAGTATCGGTCCGTTTTTGTCACTTTCTTAGGATATATCAATGGATGAATTAAAAATAAGGACCTGCTCATTACTGACTAAATTTTTATTTGTTCAAAATGGGAATAATTAATCGGATATAATTTCAGCGTATAAGAAGTCCGCACAAATAGGCATAGTTTAGGTAGGAGGAACATATTATTATGGAAACATGAAAAAAAAAACCAAAAAAAAATACAAGATAAAGTTTTTTAACAGAGAATCTTAATGCTTTTATAGGCATATGATAGGCATACTACACAATTATTGTTTGACTCAATTTTATTGAGCTTTTTTAAAAGTGAACCTCCCAACGTAATAATATCAGCAAATCAAATATTAAATTTTTTTTTTTACTACTTCGTTAAAATTTTATATTCCCTTCCTTACTTACCCCAACCAAGAAACCCCATTTTGAAGGAGCAATTATATTAATGTTATAATTTTTTTATTAATCGGACAAAATCCGGTTAAAATAACTGAGATAATTCGCTCAAAGTAGAGAGTGAGTCCCTGTTTTGTAGACCAATAACAGATTTTGGGTCATGGACCCAATGGTGAGTCCGCTCAATTGTATTCCATGGGCTGGGTCAGTGAATTGACTCAATTTTATTCCAGTTAAAACTTATGAAATTGGTCTGTTTAGAGAATTGATACTGACAGTAAATTATGCCTTTAATGAGTTTTTAGGCCCAACTCACCAAATTTTTGTATTAAAAACAAAGAGTAGAAATATAAATGACATGAAATAATCATATTTTATATGACATAATTATATTCAAATAACTAAAACATTTTACATTCAAATTCAAAACTAATTAATAGGAATAAAATAAAATGCATGGTTGAGCAACGATAACAAATGCAAAAGACTTGTAAGTAGCAAATTGGAAACAAATTACACGTTGGTTATTAAGATTCTATTTTGGTATTGTACTAGTTAAAGTAAATAGGTTGGTATATATTTGCTAAACTGGTCCAATCATTCCTCAATTTTCGCAGTCCAATATTGTGATTTTTTTTTTTTAGCCAGCCATTATTATGATTAATATAATATGAAATTAAATTCCTCTCAATAGTTCAGCCAATTTAAAAAAAAGGTTCGGCCAACCTTTATATCGTTTTTACCAGACTTGACTTGTGTTACATTTTAATGGCTAGAATTGATTTAACATTGACTTGACATTTAGGAATAATAAGTGTGAAACTCAATCTTTAAAATTACATTCACAAAGCCTTCTTTGAGATTTCTTTTACTCCAAGTGTATATATTACATATAACAATTTCTACAGCTTTAAATTCAATTGATGTCTCATGTCCTGATTTGCATTTGCAGATGACAAGGGAAGCTTTTTACCTCTACAAATGAAGTAAGTTGAAATTTATATCTCATTGTAAAAAGAAAAAAGAAAGTAATAGTTATTGAACTCTTTTAAGCTGAAAATCTATAGCTGCTACAATATTTTTCCTTCCTCTTGCAGATCAGGTGAGTGGATTCTGCGCACTGTTTCAATGCTGTCTCATGAAAATTTCATTTCTCAACATTTGAAAAGAAAAAAGAAAAACAACGGTGGGAAGTTATGAGATGAGAATCAGAAACTTTGTGGTGCTGTTTGAAATAGGAATATCTAGGGGAGCCATTGCTGGAATATGTATTGGAGCAGTTTTTGGGGTTTTACTATTGGCACTTGTCCTGTACTTTGTTCTATATAGAAGCAAGAAAGTGGAAGAAGCATCCCTTCTTCCTGCACTATCTCAAGATCAGTATCTTCATATTGGACAAGGTAAATCTCTATGCTTTTCTTCCTTGTATTGTTTGGGATACTAATAAATAAAGGCCAACACTTTGTTTGTTTCAAGCTCAAGTTTTTGGGATTGTTTTGTTGGTTTGATTCTATTATGCACTTTGAGACACTTTCAGATGTCATTCTTCGTTCAAGGAGAATACTTAGTTACAGTTTTTAGATATTTGTTATCAGGGTATTGGAAAATCTGATAGAAAAGGCCTATGAAGCTTTCACTACGTCTAATCTTTCTTCTCATGAACTTGATCAATTAACACTGAACATGTTTTTCCTAATTTAAAAGCCTAAGTTCAAAGTCTTAAATTTTGAAGTAAAATAGGATTTGATAATCTATGCATGATCAAGTCAACCTTAAATTTCAACAATGCATGACTAATTTTTCCTATGCTTCACCCCCAAAAGACCTTTGGGTGGAAGGGATGTAAGATATAAAGTATTCTTGAGGCTTGACTTGGACTTGTTAGATGATGGTTTCTTGATATTAAGCACGCAGGTCATTGAAAGTCAAAGATTAGGTTTTTTGATGTTATTGGAAAAGTCCCACCTTGGTCTAGAGATTCTGATGTAATAATGTGAAAACCTGTTTCATTCCAAGAACTTGAGATTTTAAGTAAAGGTCTATAATCAGTGAAGTGTGATGACTTTTTCGTAATATTGTTGAAACTAAGGGTTTTTTTCCTTTGAAAAAAATTGAGCTATAATTATTATGAACTCAAAGGTGAACTATTTTCTGGATTTAGTTTCAGGAAGCAGCTTGGGGAAGGCTTCAGAATCTGTTGATGTGGCTTCTCCAAGGTTGACAGGAATCACAGTGGACAAGTCAGTAGAGTTCTCATATGAGGAGCTTGCCAAAGCTACCAATGGTTTTTCTATTTCTAATAAGATTGGTCAAGGTGGCTTTGGATCTGTTTACTATGCAGAGCTTCGAAATGAGGTATGTCAATCTCTTGAATGATTATAATCCCTAAATATTGTGTATAAATCAAAGAATAATGAGTTATCTCTTTGAAGTAAAAGACATCATCCCTAGTTGCTCATGTCTCCTCTTAAAATTTCCTTCTTGTTAAAGAAAATCAGTTGAATTTTTCTTCTTTATTAACTTTTATGTAGAAAGCTGCAATTAAGAAGATGGATATGCAAGCTTCAAAAGAATTCCTTGCTGAACTCAAGGTTCTGACACATGTTCATCACTTGAACTTGGTATGAGATTTTCCCTGCTGTTTAATCTGCTAGAAATTAATGCAGAAGCATGAACATCATGCTGAATCAATTATTTTCCAAAAATATTGTGTAACTCGCACTATTTATGACATTAACAGATACATAGGAGGTAGATATAAGTAACTTAGACAGTACTTAAACATCAGATTTGGATATTTAGTCCATGACATTTCAATTCAAAAGACAAGGTTTTAGGCTTTGATTTTGGGAATTCTCGTTAAGTCATCCTATTCCTGGGATCCTATGATAAACAACTAGCAAGAAAGTCTTGTCCTTGGTATTGTTTCTCTCAATCACGTGTCATAATTGTGATTCCTTGCATGTGTACTCTATTTTTGTGCAGGTACGCTTAATAGGATATTGTGTTGAGAGCTCTTTATTTTTGGTTTATGAGTACATTGAGAATGGAAATTTAGGTCAACATTTACGTGGGTCAGGTAAAATGTTCTCTCATGATTCTGTGGTGCAAATCTACTCATACTCTCCCATGCGCATCTAACACCAGAGTTTTCTTACCTAAATAGAGAATAAATGTCATATTTGTTACCTATGCCTAACGTTAGTTACTTTAGTGTGGTGAGGCTCACTTGGTGTCTAGCTATCATAAAGTAATGGACGTTAACAACACTTAACGGGCATGACATTTTTGCTGCATTTGGGAACATTCATGTGTGTTCTTGCAACCAAGGAAGCTTTATGGTGTCAGAGATGCTCATTCATAGGTAGATCTGCACCTTAACTGCTGATTTAAAGACTCTTAACGTTTTGTCACTTTCAGGAAGAGAACCACTTTCATGGTCAACTAGAGTTCAAATTGCCCTGGATGCAGCAAGAGGACTTGAATACATCCACGAGCATACAGTTCCTGTCTACATTCATCGAGACATTAAATCAGCAAATATTTTGATTGATAAGAACTTTCGTGCAAAGGTTTGCAAACGTTTCTCATGATTCTTGATCTGAGAAACATGTCTGTTACAGAGTTTTGAAGTCCCTATGTTTCTTCATAGCTTTTGATTGAGACAAGTTTGAACAATGTTGAGTCTAACTTTTTTACAGGTTGCAGATTTTGGTCTGACAAGACTTACTGAATATGGTAGTTCTTCATTTCACACACGACTTGTTGGTACATTTGGCTATATGCCTCCAGAGTAAGATTTTTTTTCCCCCCCTTACACTTTTCATTTGGTCTAACAAGGTGCACTTAGATCTTGTTTGGTTACCATTGTTTTTTATATTTCGTGTATTAGTTACTACCTCTGGTCCTTCATATAAGATTCACTTTAATGAAAAATTTAACTTCAAAGTGAATCTTATGTTAAGGTCTGGAGGTAGTGTTACGTACTCAAAAAGATTGTTTAGGAAGATTAATCTACAAAAACTATTGTTTGTTCTACTTTATTCATAATTTACACTAAGAATCATAAGGCAGGCAGAGAGAATGTATGAAGTTTGAGAAACTGCAGAATTTGTGTGCAGATATGCGCAATACGGCGACGTTTCGGCGAAAATAGACGTATATGCTTTTGGAGTCGTGTTATATGAACTCATATCTGCCAAGGAAGCTGTTGTGAAGACAAACGACCTTGTGAACGAATCAAAAGGACTAGTTGCCTTGGTTGTCTTCCTTTGTTCTGTGTTATTAACTCACTAATACTCTCAAATCTTTTTTTGTTTTTTTTTTGCTGTTGCGTTTCTGATTATTTCCAGCTTTTGGTCGGTGAAAATATTGCAGTTTGACGAGGTTTTAGCGCAGCCAAAAGAGGAAGAACAGCTTCGTCAACTTGTTGATCCCAGCCTTGGTGCTAACTACCCCTTTGAATCAATATGCAAGGTGATGCCATTATCTTTTCTCATTAGCACTCAGTATTCAATCCTATGTCCATCCGGTACTTAATAGAAGATCTAGATAACTAATTTTTAAATATTAAAAAATTAGTTGAATTAGTTATTTGTAATAAATATATATTGTTCTTTCTAAAATATTTTTGTTAATTATATGCACCAAAATATCTCTTTCATGAAATATTTAATATGTGCAATTACTATAAGGATTACATTAGGAAAAAATAGATAAATATAAGTGACAAAGTGGATTTAAGGTCTTATCTTTATGATTAAATTGCATCTCCAACTAGTTCTTATATTAAATATTAGATGTAATGTAATATACTCCCTCTGTGGTAAATATAAGACCTTTTTTAATCCGATCTCAATTAAGAAAGTTAGTTAATGATAGTTAATAATCTTAATCTTTTCAAAAATCATACCTTTCCCCAAGCCTAACTTTATTTAATTTTATTGAAAAAGTGAAAATTTGTATAAACTCTATTTTCTCACACACTTTTACATGAAACTAATAAGAGTATATTTGGCAATGGCTAATAAATATTGTAGTGTACTCCATAAATAGATTATATACATAGAGCCAAAGGAACAATAATGAGGAAATAGTCTTATATTTAGAGTCAGATGGAGTATAAAATTTAAAAATGTACTATTTACAAATTATGAACACTACAACTTATTCCTAAATGTCAATAGTCTTATAACCTAGTGGTTTGAAGACTCTCTGTAAGTGAGAGATCATGAGTTTAATCCCACTTGTAACATCAAATTATTAGTATCTACCCTTGTAATTGGGGGGAAGGAGAGGGGGAGAGAGAGAGAGAGCTTATTCCTCAATCTCAGTGCAATACACAAGGACTCACCTAGTTAACTGTCATCATTCTGCATTGCTCATATACATACATATATTTATGTGTATGTATATTTGTATGTATGTAGTTCTCATGGTTGAGGGTAAAAAAATACGTAGAGAATATCACACACACACAAATATATAAGGTGTAATATTGAAAAGTTGATTTGCAGATGGCTCAGCTGGCGAAAGCTTGCACACATGAGAATGCTCAACTAAGGCCAAGTATGAGATCAATTGTGGTTGCACTGATGACACTTTCTTCTTCAACTGAGGAGTGGGATGTTGGCTCCTTTTATGAAACCCAAGCTATGATGCATTTCATGGCGGGAAGATAGCTTCTTCTTCATTCTAATCTATCCGGTCAATCAATACCCTAAAGTTACAGGAGGCAAATATATATATATATATATATATATATATGGGTTTTAATGGCTTCAAAGCTCCCAGATTGCATTAACAATACTCTGCTTCTATATGTTTGAGTCTTCATGTTAACGCTGAACTTACATATAGGGGATTTCTTGACGATGATAGGGTCTGAAATTTTTCAATTAAGTATATGATTCTATCGTCATCTGAATTTGTAAATAAACTAGTGTTGCCTTTCATTTATTAGTTTTGTTTTCTCCTTTATATTTTTCGGCCGGCTTCTTCTTCTTCTTTTTTAATTAGAAAACAATTTATTAAAACAAGATAAAATGATACAATACATAAATTAGGCCCCTAGCTATATATCAGAAGATAAACTCAACAACTATGATGAAACCCAATCCACTCAAAGCAAAACAAACACATATATACAAATATCGAAACTCATGAAAACATAAGACAACACATTACATATAAAACCATTGAGTAGCCTAAAGCAAGAAAATTTATATATAATTGCTTAAAAAAATACTCACACGTTGCAAGAAGTATACCAATTCTAAAGCAAATTAGGCTATAATTAATGAGAACCAGGCAAGAAAATAGCCATATCATTAAATAAATATTGGACCTATCACTTACTCCTCTGGTCCTATTTATATGGCAGAGATAGGACATTTTTAGTTCTATTTCAAGGATACTAAGAGATATAGTTGTATAATTTTTTTCTTCATTTATTATTGTGTTGATTTTGTTTACATGAGATATAACATAAATATAATATATGTTAAATAGGAATAAAGTTGAAAAGTTGTTGAATTTTAAATAAAAGTTAACAAAGTTTAAGGTTTTTCTTAGTGTATGTAAAAAATATTAAAAATTACTTATAAATAGGAATAAAGAAATAGCTTATAAGACCGATCTAAATGCGATGCCTTAAGAATTGATTATTTCACATTGGCGATGTGTCGACATGATGTTGACCGGGTTCAAGTTCCGTCTCACAGCTGATTAATTGTTTAAACTTCCTTGTTTGTTTTTTTTTTTCCTTTTTTAACATACTAACCGATTTACGAAAACTATATTACATCTCAACTAATTTAGATAAAATTAAATTAGATATTGATGTAGATTTTTTTAATTGACATTGCTTTCCTTTAGTAGGATTTGTACCCGATACCAACACCCGGACCCTGAACCAATTGTTATGGATGGATTTTATTTTCTCAGTACTTTTTTTTTTGGGGAAAATTTATCTTCTTAATACTTGATTTCATGATTTATTATTGTAATGTTGAGAATATTATATGGTTTGGGTCATTTTCATTCACGTATTCTTTTTCAAAATCTAATTTTATCCAAAATAATCGCTTAGAGTTTGGTACAAACAAAACTTTTGTAGCAAGTGAGATGTAGAAGAAATAAAATAAGGGGAAAATCTCATTTGAATTCCGGCGTGTTTGGAATAACTTTTCAAAAATAATTTTATAGAGTTCGAGGTAAATATATTGAATAAGTTTTATCTTGACAAAAATAAAAAAAATAAAAAAGCATGCACCTTAGCCAGCCACGACAATCACCCCTTCTCTGGTGACTAGCAATCAATGCTTAGACTAGTGACAAATTTTAAAGGTGCATTTGATATGAGGGATTTGGAAGAAAAAGGAGGGAAGAAGAGGGATTTTTCTCTCCTCCCCTTATTTTGGCAATCCAAAGTTGCAGAAGGGGAGGGAAAATTTCATAAAGTTTTCCTTCCCCTCCTCTTATAACTCTCCCCTCTAAAATTGGGGGGTTTAGGGAGCAAATGTGTATTTTTATCTTATTTTGACTAAACTGTTCACAATTGTTTTAAATATTTTTATCATGCTTTTTTGCCTTTTTCTTCATCACATCTCACCCAATTTATATATAGTTATATATTTATTTGCATTCATTTAACTGTCAAATTTTTTAAAAAAAGATTTTTTTCAATTAAAAATTATCAACGGAAATGTTAAATTAAAACATTAAAAGTTTAAATTGTATTCCAATGCAAAAATACTCCGACCAATATTAAGCAAAAATTGTTCACTAAAAACGTAACAGTTAACTAATTCTACTAGAAAAAATTGTTAACTAACAGTGCCATAAAAGCTAATTCTTTCAATGAGTTATGTGTGAGCGTGTGTGTATATATTAAGTTTATAGTTATAGTATTTATAATTATTATGGTACATATACTGTAAGTATGATTATAAATGATTAAATGATACTTTTATAATTTATTATTATATTTTATTAAACATTATGAAAGTAGGAATATAAAAACAACTTAAATAAACAAGGATAAACTTGTCCTTATAAAATATTTTTCCTCCCTTCCCTTCCTAAACCAAACAAGGTGATATTAAAATCCATTCCTTTTCCTTCCTTCTGATCAATCCAAATGAGGTAATATTAAAATTTCTCTCTCATCCTCTCACCTTCCATTCTTTTCATTAAAATCCCTTTCCTCTCTTTCCTTTCATTGAGCAAAACAAGAACTGGTGGGATTTCATTCCACTAACTTTTAGCTTCAATGGTTCTATAGTTACAGATTATTCTGTGTAATAAAAGATGGTGGGATTAAAATCCACCTTGACCAACTCTGCTGAAAATTGTCTAGTCGTCAATGGCTATTGGTAGCCAGCTAATTTAAGATTTGGAAATTCTAAATTGGTACCTTAGAATGATTTAAGATCCTATAAAATAAACCTTAGACTATAAAATTAGCTTGGGGGTTTGAGTCAAGATTTGGTCAAACGGTGCAATTACTATTTTAGACTTTGTGCAATGTACATAGAAATATTTCTGATTTTGATGCCATGTTTAACTTACTTGTTCAAAAAAAGTAATTATGGCATTCAGTACCGATACATTGATCTCTACTAATTTTGTGAGGCTGCCATCCACTTATATTACCTATAATAACATATATATTTTTCATGTCTATTATATATTGATTTTTGTGTGTTGTTGACGTGGACATAGATTCATGAGAGAAGAGGTCAAAATCACCCGGCATCATCATGGATTGAGATTAGCTCCCTGACAAACTCCTTTGTTTTAAATATCATTCATACTTCAATTCCTTGTCTCAAACCGAATACATTATTGTTGTTGTTGTTATTGCTATTATTATATGTTGCTACTGTCTTTTCGTTTCCTTTGACGATTATTCCAACTTTCACTACGCTAGCCCTTCTATTTCCTTTCAAGCTTTCAACACAAATCGGTAAATAATTTAAATTGAGTTATTGATAGTTATTACTTTTCTCGTTTTATTTATAAATTATTTCTAACATATTTTACACAAACCTAAAAAAATTAAATTTCATTAAATTTTATTTAAAATTTAATAAATTTTCAATTTATGCCTATTTATTATATATTATATATATATGAAAACAAAATTAACACAATAATAAATAAAAGGTAAATTCGCATATTCACATGAAAAATTTCTCTTTTCACCCTATAAATAGAACCAAAAACTCTTCTCTTTCTCTACTCTATAAATAAAATTAGAGAAGTATATAATCGTGGAGATAGAAAGACAAAAATTAAAAATATATGAAAACCTCTATCCTTACATATAAAATAATCCCCCCCGGGGGGCCCCAAATTTCTATTTACGAATCATTTTTGTTAATTTTTTTTTATATAAGGATCGTTGAATAACTATGATGAAGATAGGGATTTATGGTTATGAAAAAACTGGGTTTAAGTTATAGGCAAAATCATAGGAAAATCTCATGTAACAATTTTAATATTGGCTGGCGACATCTAGTGCAAAATGTCATAAGATAAAATAGACATATAAATGTGGCAACACCTACAAAAATAATAAAAATATGATTTGAATCGTATCTAAGAATACTATTCTTAAGAGTTATTCCACCACGTAAAGTTAAGATAAAAGGCGGTATTTTCTAAAATTAAACGAACCCTTTATGCATAAAATAGGGTGACAGAGTAACAAAAATTTAAAACTCAAGAGAAGAGAGAGAGGAGGAGAATTCGGGGATAGAATTCAACATTCTCTAACCATGCGCCACATATTGCCTTTTATAGGTAGATAATATGTAATTGTTGGGCTGCCATGTAGTGATTAAAGACAGTTTTAATTATAATTAAAATGGTGGTTTTTCAATCATGAATTAAAACATTTGAAGACCATTAAATATGGTCAATGAAATAATAAAATTGACCAATTAAAATATATAAACTCTTCTGCGGTCATTTTTAATGGTTAATTTTAAAGACTTCTTTTCTTAATCATTTTATTAACTCAAACTTACATCTTAATAAATGCTAAGGTTTTCTCAATCTTAAGTAATATAGAACTTTTTTTGACACGTTCACACGCTAAAAATCCAATAATAAATATCACAAGTTTATATATTTAGAATAGAAAGTAAGTCATGTTTCTTAACCATATTTTGCCGTATATCTCATTAGTAGTTAAATTTTTGTTTGACATTTTCTTATAATTATATTTAGAATTTATTACATTTAAGAACACATTTTAGTTAGCTTTTTATTTATATGAATTAAGTTAAAAAATTCTTATAAATAGAGAGCATGAATGAATTTGAATCCGCAAGAATGAACAAACCATTTATTTATTATCCTAGCCTTCCCCAGAGAGGAGTTATTCACTCACACACTCCTTTCGTGGGGAATAGATGCCAGTAAAGCCAATGCTCTTTGACAGACCATTTTATTTAGGGTAAATGTACATTAGCATTTTAATTTAGATTAATTTAGTATTCTAATTTTATTTATGATATATCTGTCATCTTAAAAATCAAAGTGCTAGATGTAATTAAAAACATAATATCAGAACAGTGAACGCACCAAGAAAATGACACTAAAATACTGGATTGTAAAATATTACCTCCAATTCAAGTGTTAGGTAACTAATATATGAATATTAAAAAAATTAGTTAAACTAATTATTTGTAATAA